TAATTCCAATAAGGCTTTAAAATACAGATTTGGATTTTCTTTTCTTTTTTTTTGTCTGATACTACCCCTGGAAGAGAAAGGGAGAATTTTGTCTTGGCTTGGATTGATTGAGGATTTTGGGATTGTTTTATTTATTTATTTATTTTTTGAAATATCTTGGTTGGTGTAAGAAGAAAGAGGGAAAAAAGAAAAGAAAAGAAAAGATCTATAATGGCTTTTTCTTTTGAGGAACTGAGGGAAGAATATGAGCAAACAAAAACAGATGGTAAAGATGGTATGGAAAAAGCCTTCCTTTTTTTAGAAATGGCGCTGGTTAACTATCAACAAACAACAGATGGAGGCAGAAGAACAACAAGAAGAAGACGAAGACGCCATCTTTAATGAATCCCAAAATTTAACTAAGAAAGAAGGAAGGAAGAAAGCGAGGAAAATGAAGGACTTAAGATCTAAAAAAACATTCAAGAAAGAGAAAAATAAGATGCAAAATAAATATAATGATATAGTAAACAAAAGAAAAAGGGAACACAACAGAGAAGGGATGCCAGCAAGGCAGAGGCTAGAAGAAGTGGGGGTAGGAAGATTTGGTGGGGGAAGAAAGAAAGGGGAAAGGCGGAGAAAAGCCACAAAGTTTTGAAATTAGATGGGAAAAGAGGAATTTTTTTTAGGGACAAAGGGTAAAGTACAATTTTCTTTAAAAAGATTTTGCAAGGTACATAAGATGGTATTGTAACATCTGTATTAGAAATAGAAAATTAGAATGGTTTAAGAGTTAATAAGAAATTAAAATGTTGAAATGTTTAATAATGATTGATTTTAAAATTTAATAAAATATTAAAGGGAATGTTTAGAATATTGAGTTTTAATTAAAGAGTTTAATATGACTATGGTATTGAGGTTAATATAAAACTATTATAGTAGCATTTGTTTTTTGAAAAGGCAATGGGAATGTTATAATTTAATATTTAGATTTATTATTTATCTATGTATTTAATCATTTTGGATTTATTACTCAGTTTTTATTATTATTAAAAAAAAAATAGTAGATAGACTGTACCAAGCAGAATCAGATTGGGTATTAGGTGTTATTTTAAATGTTAATCTAATTAATTTAGGGGGAGGATAGAAAGGCATCATACTCTGATTAGTGATTTCAGGAGGAATTCTTTTTTTTTTCATTATAAGGAATGAGATAGAGGGATAATAAAGAATGGGCAAAAGATACAAATATAATGATTTAAATTAAGATGGATTAAATAAGATAGAATTATGAAGAGTGAAATGTCTGGAGAAGTTTATATAGAAGATATAGAATGGTAAATAAAATAGGTAATGATATGTAAGATGAGCATGAATATAATTGAAGCCCATATAAACAGAGGTACCTGGTGCCAAGTTACTTTCCTAAAAGATTTTTTATATGTTTGTTTGTTGTGTGTTTATGTATTTGAGAGTATTAATAAAACCTTGTAGAAATACAGAATGAGAATAATGGTAACCAAGTCAGAAAGAAATAGATGAAATAATAATAGCGAAATTGAATAAGAGTAAAGAGAAGTAAAGAGAAATTGGATAAGAGGTATTTTTATGCTCATATGGAAATGGCTTAAAATAGAATTGTATTGTATAAAATAAGGTTTTATCTGACTTGTAAAATTTATAATGGAAAAAGGTTCAAATATATAATGGTTGATGATGATTTGTTTGTCTTTGAAATTAATAAAATTTGCTTAAAAAAAAAAAAAAAGCCACCACACACAGACGGATCCTGGACATGGGCTTCAAATGTTGTATTCCTCTTGTCAAGCCGCTCCTGAACAACAAACATCAGAAACGTCTTACCTGGGCTAAAGAAAAACAGAACTGGTCTGTTACTCAGTGGTCCAAAGTCCTCTTTTCTGATGAGAGCAACTTTTGCATCTCATTTGGAAAACAAGGACCCAGAGTCTGGAGGAAGAATGGAGAGGCACACACTGCAAGATGCTTGAAGTACAGTGTGAAGTTTCCACAGTCTGTGTTGATTTGGGGAGCCATGTCATCTGCTGGTGTTGGTCCACTGTGCTTCATTAAGTCCAGGGTCAACGCAGCCGTCTACCAGATTTTGGAGCACTTCATGCTTCCTTCTGCAGATAAGCTTTATGGGGATGCTGACTTCATTTTCCAGCAGGACTTGGCACCTGCCCACACTTCCAAAAGCACCAAAACCTGGTTCAATGACTGTGGGATTACTGTGCTTGATTGGCCAGCAAACTCGCCTGACCTGAATCCCATAGAGAATCTATGGGGCATTGCCAAGAGAAAGATGAGAGACATGAGACCAAACAATGCGGAAGAGCTGAAGGCCGCTATTGAAGCTTCCTGCTCTTCCATAACACCTCAGCAGTGCCACAGGCTGATAGCTTCCATGCCACACTGCATTGAGGCAGTAATTGTTGCAAAAGTGGCCCAAACCAAGTACTGAGTACATATGCATGCTTATACTTTTCAGAGGTCCGATATTGTTCTATGTACAATTCTTGTTTTATTGATTGCATGAAATATTCTAATTTCTGAGATTGTGGATTTGGGGTTTTCATGAGCTGTAAGCCATAATCATCTCAATTATGACAATTGTGGCTTGAACTCTTTCTTTGCATGTCATGAGTCTATCTCATATATTAGTTTCACCTTTTATGTTGCATTACTGAAATAAATGAACTTTTGCACGTTATTCTAATTTTTCAAGTTTCACCTGTATTAATATTATTATCTAGCATATTGAGAGCAAAGAAATCAAAGATGATTCTGTCTCTGATTTAATGCCACTAGATAACTCTTTCTCCGAGAGTCTGGGGAAAAAAAAGATACATTGCATTTGATGGGATTGTGATTTTATATTGATTAAAGTCATCATATCAAAATGCGTTAAGTACCAAATTTTATGAGTTTCAAAGCAGTTGAGTACCAAGGTACCACTGTATCTGTACATGGAACGTAGAAATCCATGTAGATTTACTAATTTAACTGTTGTGGGGGGAAAGGATGCCAGAGGACAATGTTATAGTTCTAACCCAAAACTATTAGCAATTCTTTGCCAAATGAAACTATTTTAGAGCAACAATTTTCTTCTTGAGACTTGGGATTGCTGACACTTTAGTGCCATCTTTTGGACTGTCCAAGTAACAGCAATTTAATTTGCTTTAAAGAATAAAGAATTAAGAATAGTCAAATCTCAGCTATTTTTAAAATTATTATAGGATTTGTAATATGGACTGTATGTTGTCTTAATCCCACTAATACATATGATCCTGAGTACCCTAAAAGCAAACTGCTTTCTCTCCAATCCTCTTAAAGTATTTAACTGTATTATTATACATTATTAAAATGTTCCTACATTAAAAAAGCAATTAAAATAACAATGAAGGACAAAGTGGAAATATAGCACTTCTATAGCAAAAGTGTAATAATATTATGATTCATAACATATCCGGGAATTTTCATTTTAAAATGTGTATCTCATCGCAAATATTTAGATATAATGCACAGATCATTTTCATAATTCCTTGCCAAGCTAATCTTGATGCAAATGAGGGACACCAAATTTGAACTCGTTTTAAAAAAAATTCTTGAATGAGATCACTTCCTAAAACAAAAACAAAATGCCTTAGTCTCCTTCATTTCTCCAGATCCAATCCCCTTCGCTTGTGTTTTCTTTAGAATACTTTATTATGACCAGTATAAAAAATACAATAAAAAGTAATAAAGCATCAAATTGCATTTTAAATTTGTCATAATATGAAAATTATACAGAATCTATACAGCCTAAACTAAACCTATAAACCCTATTATCTATGAAACTTGTCTACTTTGTTTATTCAATTTACAGTTGTCAAGTATGCTTAAAAATAAGGCAGTATTTAATTTTGTAGCATACAATATTAAAAGAAAAAAAATATAATGTATATTTTCTCTTTCTAAACTGCCTGCTGCTTATTATCCCTAAAGCACTTGATCTCAGAACCACACAACTTGTGCTGAATATTATGGCCTGCGTCTTTTAGTAATAAACAGGTAAAATCAATGTCCAGTCTTTAAACCATTCAATAAGAAAAAATATTGTATAGCAGGGGTGGGCAATTAATTTTCCCAAGGGGCCATGTGAGAAACTGGGACTGTTGTGGAAGGCGGCTGCCACCACCCCCTTGCTGCCCCCATGGGCTGGATAGGGACAGAGGGCCCGATGTGGCCCACGGACCATAAAATGCTAAGGTCCGTTGTGTATTATCTGCTTCAGAAAAGGAGGAGCTTAAAACAATACAAGTCACTGAGTCTATTTTTCCTTTTCTGTGTTGGTAGATTCTAAAGAATCTTATTGGTGTTGAATGTGTGCTCTTACAAGGACTCATCTGTATCTATAAAAATAATGTAGGCCAGTCCAATTACATCTAAGTACAGTACATTTCTGGGGTTTGAGCCAGTCCCTTCTGAGGTTCCATATCAGCTTTCCTTTCTTTAACCATTGCAGCTTACTTAAGTGTTCAGATCAGAACCCATAGGTAGTAAACTTGTACTCACAGATTAACTGCCAAGTGCCGTTGTATTTCTCCAGTGACTAGTAATTCATTGGGATTTAAGGTAACTCTGATTCAAGTTATTAGTTTTCTGGACCAGGATTGGGTTTCAATGCTTGGCAAGTCTGGCCTCAAGGCTGCATTAGATACACACCAATTATAGCCTTAAGGAAAACTGATTGGATCAGTTTGCAGGTTGTAAAATGTAAAGATGGATCTAATTTAATTCCTTACATCATTTGCATTTATAAGTTTGGCTTGATTGCTGCCAGAATGAATTTCCCTGCTTTCCATAAAATCTTCACTACAATGCTTCTCTGTAACTTCAATGTGGCATCGGTAATTTCAGCATTTATTTTCCTTTTGCTTTGGAAGACAGATACTTACATGGCTTAACTTGTTCAATTATATGATTAACTGATCATTTGTCCCGTCAACTTTTTTTTTTGAAAAAAAAAAAAATCAAAATGTTGGGGTTTTTTCACAACATGCAAATGTTCACGTATCAAAATTTTCTTGCTTAAAATTACTCCAAACTCCCTCCTCCTTTAGATTGAATTAAATAATACTTGAAAATCAACATGGATTTGGATTAGGCTGCTCTACAGAACTGATTTTTAAGCTTTCCTATCTCTTTCAAAGATGCATTTTGAGTGATAATTTTTGCTAAATATTAAAACTCATTTGTAATTTGTGCTTATTCTCAATGAACCGTCTTTCGCTAACATTTAAAAATATTTTTTCCTAAAATGTACTTATATAATAGGCATGAAAGGAGAATGTATTTCTGTGAGCTTTATTACTTTTTTCAGTAAACTTTTAAGCACCCACCTTTAATAACACACCAGAGAATTTAGACAAACATATAAATAAGAATGTATGTAATTAAATACATGAAACAAAAATGTAATTTAAAGAAAAGACGGGTTTCTCAAAAAAAACTGACCATGAAGCAAAAATAATTAGTACAAAAACATCCAATACTATTTCTATTCCTATTTAATTATCGTCTGCCTCGAGATTTATATTGTTGCCAAACTTTGCATAAAGCTGGACTTTAAGATCTGATAATACTTTTTGGATGGATTCCACTTGTGCTTCCAAAGTTCCAATTTCTTCCTGTAAGTTTTTCTGGCAAAGAAAAGAAATGGAAAAATGTTAAGTAAAGATTTCAAGGAAACATTTTTCCTTCCAAACATTCATCTATTACAGCAAAATCAATGAAGTTTCTGTGTCACCTTAAAGATAAGCGTATTTGTTAACAACTAAAACAACTTTTTTTTCTTCATTGATTAGACTTCTGATTTAGAAGATCATGAGTTATAGACAGTTCTTTAAAATATGAATCCATCAGACTACCTTATCTGCATACTTAAAATGTTTCACCCAATCTGAAGTTTTTATATATATATTATTATTACCATGGGTGTTTTAATGTTACTGAATGCTTAATCTGGACAATACCGTGCATTAATTATTATGTGGTCCAGTAAACAACAATTAGAATGGAATATGGAGCCATTCATAAGTTCAAAACCGGAAAAGCAGTTAAATAAACTGCATCAAAGTTAAATATTGACATTCAATGTATATGCTGGACTTATTATGAGACTGAAAGAAACAGAAGATGGTGTTAACATTGCCAGGAAAACAAAACATACAGATATGCTGATGATATTATTTTAGTGGCTGGAAAGAATAAAGTCTTCATGACTCTTTTGTTGAAGTTGAAAAATGAGAGTGCAAAAACCAATATTATGCTCAATATCAGAGAACATCACATTGATGACAAAGATACGCATTGCCAAATCATGGTTTTTTTATATCTGTGAAAGTTGCAATCAGAAAGACTGAACAAAACAACAACAAATCAATGTTTTTGAACTGTGATGCTGAGAAATTGTTGAGCAAGAAAAAACAAGTGATTCATTTATAGATACAATAGAGGAAAGAAGACTACCTGGAAAAGTATTTGTCAGTTTCTTCCCCCCACCCCCCAAATCTTTCCTTGCTTCAATATCTTAAAAGAGCCACAGAAGTAGCACAAGGAACAGAACATACCTTTGCCTCCTCCAACATCTCTTCTGTTTCAACTTGTGGGTGACTAATGAAGACATCTCCAATTTGATATGGTATCAATAATGAATCATCATCAAGCACCAGAATGTCATCACAAGCATCTTGCAGGTTCTGGAGCTGTTTCTGTGTGTAAGAAATCAAGTTATTTTCCCACCAATTTAACCATCATCGTGATATGGATTGTAATTCAACTTAGGATAAACCATTATATGTTTCGTGCACACACACTCAAACACATGTATTTATGTATGTAATTCTAAACTAGGTGTGACTATCTAAGGAACAGCTTTAGGACAAAATTCAAAAGAGTAGAACCAGCTACCCTACCAGCTATCTCTTAACACTGAACGGGATAAATTTAAGTGATTAAAATACAGTGATAGGTTTTAATGGCAAATGTACTGTCAATATGATTCTACAAGGTGACTTGATTTAAACTGATTTTGAAACACCCAGTCTAGTGATTTAATTTGGTGACTTGATTGGTTTTAATTTCCACAGTCATAACAGGTTTGACAAAGTACTTACTTATATTTAAAATGCTCTCTTAACTATATGGCTGCGTCAGAGGTGGTATTCAGCCACTTTGGATCAGTTCTGGCATACCAGTAGCAGAAATTTCGAGTAGTTCGGAGAACCAGTAAATACCACCTCTGGCTGGCCCTGCCCACCTGCCCCCACCGTTACTTCTCCTATATTCCGTTTTTTAGATCAGCTGATTCGCGCAGCAGAGCGGATTGCCACACCTCAGCTGACTAAAAAACAGCACAGCTCATCAGCATTGATACAGAGGGTGGTCTTTGAGCCCTATGCGCATGCGCAAAGTGCTCTCTCAGAACCGGTAGGAAGAAATTTGGAAACTCACCACTGGGTTGTGTGGTTACTATCCATGTTCAGAGAAATGTAGAATACAACAGAATACTGAAAGAGTCTCTCTCTTGCAGGGGAAAAGTAAAGTATGGTTCTGTTTAATTTTGTGGGAAAAATGAGTTGCTCTCCTGAGATAATTAATAACATTTGTACACCATTCAACTCCCAGCAATTCTGAAAACCTTTGTGGCCAATTTGAGGCCACATCAAACTTTACCTTACACCATTAACCAAAAGGAGAAATATATGCCAATAATAACATGGTAGAAGAAATATTTCTGCAGCAAATTTCTTCCCGCTCTGCTAAATCAATGAGAGAAATCTGAGCTTTTACTATTTGTACCATTGCCAGTTCTCCTGAATACCACTGCCATGCAAATTAACCAAAGCATAAGGCTTTGGATGGTAGCGCACACATTTTTGCCAATTAACCTTACAGAAAAAAAGTATTTATTTGATTTGATTTGGGAATTGTCTGATTTTGGTTACCTTCTTATCGTCTATTTCTTCTTTTAGTTCTGTAATTCTACTGGTGTTTCTAGCAAACTTGTTGATTTTCTGCTGATCTTCAAAAGTAACGTTAACGTCTTCTGCTGCCTAAACAAAAAACAAGAGCTCCTCAAATATATTGCATGTGAATAATAATCTGGTTTTTTCAGTTAAACTAAGTTATATATACACACCATTATTTCAGCTTGTCAGAGAATAATCAGGTTAAGTTCTAAAACAGGAAGTGATTACATATTTAATACAGACAAGATGTTGACAGAACGAAAGCATAACTTTGACAGACAAGGAATACAGGGAGAGTATAAGTAAAAATCCTTAGGATATTTGCATACACAATTGTAACCATAGGAAACACCTGAGATCATAAACAAATAAGTCATAGTGGCCTGATTTACATATAGCATTAAGCTAGAGCATGTTTAGCTGACCAAAATGCTAAGTACAACAGATGTCTCAGATGACTCTACAGTAAAAGGCAAGCAAACCTCATTATGGCTTAATGTTATCATGCTACAGTTTAACTACATCAATACCTTAAACTGGTATGGCATGAGGATAGATGGACAGACTAATGAATAAATAGGAGAACTGTATGTCCATAAAAATAGAAAATACCTAACAAATCAACTGCAACAGAAAAATAATCAGTTCCTTATTCTCACAACATATGGACAGACTCAAATCATATTTTCAAGGGGAAAACAGTGAACATTCTAGATCAAACTAAATCCAAAATATTAAGGAATTCCTGGAAGTTTGGCAGACCAATCAGCCATCAATAGACACATAGAAATAAAACATATTTACATGTCTGTCAAAAGAGACAACAAAAAGCGAAGAAGGGAACAAAAAAAGACCAGAACATATCAGTTTCAATAGCATTCAATTCAATAGTTTCAATAGTTCAATAGTTTCAATAGTATTCAGATAAGCAGGCATTAACACCAGACAAACAATCAAGTAGAAAACAATATCCTAATCAAGGAACTCCCAAGGAGAAAACCATACACACCCCAACACTGGAAGAACAAGCTATCCCCTTTACTATCACTGATAATGTTACCTAGGCAGGTAATGAAATGCCCACAATCAAGCAAGCAACCAAACTCAGAAAGTGCACCAAGAATTCCACAGAATATTCTACTATCCAGAAAAATAAAGCAATCAAATAAAAAGGGCAGATGAACAGAATAAAGATGGAAGAATGGATCGATTTTCTTCCCCCAATAATTTGGAGCAAAGAAAAATAATCCCAAGATTAACATCAATCTAATGCAGTCTAATTAGATCATCTAATGCAGGGGTCCCCAACCTCCGGTCCGCGGACCGGTACCGGGCCGCGGAACAAGCCTTACCGGGCCGCTGGTTGCTGGGCGCCGCCATCTTTTTTTGGTAAAAAAAGCAATTTTTCGTCAAAAAAGATGGCGGCGCCCAGCTGACGCCGGAACCGGGCCGCGGCGCCCAGCTGACACCGGAACCGGGCCGCGGCGTCGAAAAGGTTGGGGATCCCTGATCTAATGCATACTTCTTCAACCTCATGCTCTTTTGAACTACAAATATTGCTTTATATACTACACTACCTGGATGGTTAAAAAAAATAATGCATTGGTTGCTATTTGCTTATTGCTCAGCAGTTTGACTGAAACTGGCCTTCAATACTGATTGAAAAGTTTTATAAAATTATTTAGTTTTACTGAAACTTTTCCAATAAAACTAAGCAAATAACTAAAAGATTAGTGGGGGAATACATGAAAACTTATATTCTCCATTTATGCTTTTGATTTTAAAGCATAACTTAGCCACCCACCTAGGAAAAAGGATTTAGGAGCAACCCAACCCTAAATAAGTCTCTGCATACTTAGTTAATGAGCTTATTCAAATTAGATGAGAAATAAAACCACCCTGGAGGACATACATATTGGGTTCCCCTAATGAAACTGCTCAGTCTGAAGAAACTAATTGGATAAGCAGTGAAACTTTTCAAAGCAAAAGAAAATAAGTCCAGTTGCCATGATTTAACTCCCAGACATCTCTACCTGGATGACTGAGAATCTTCTGCCCCTAAAGACAAAGCTGAATGTTTCATTATTTTTATTATTTATAAAATAATAAAATAAAATTTATTTACTTCGCAATTTTGTTGCAAAGTAAAAATACAACTTGCCTCAGGACAACCAAGTATCTGGGTTTGATCATATAGTTTTTAAAAAAGTAACGTTTTTGCACAACAATTGTAACTTCTTAAAACCGGATTAATAAAATACATCCAGCCAACACAGGGGCTATTTTGATGTTTAAATCCAAAGCAAGAAACACTAAATAGAAAATGCACAAAACAGTAATCTTTTCTAGGCATGAGGTTGACAAAAGGGTAAAGTTAAGGTAAAGCTGAGGCTCTGTTGAAAAAGTGTTGGCCAATGAATTCATCCTTATAAGTTTGTGTTCATATCCTGGAAAGCTTTATGGGTAGAGAGTAATTGGTGATAGTTTTATTGCCAGTTGTTGTTGGGTGTTTTTTTTTAAAAAAATCTTCCAATAGAAGAGAATATATGTAGTTCATGACTCAACTGCTGAAACCTTGGTTCTCTTTGAGCTTGGTTGTTTGCTTGCAAATGTTTCATTAGCTAGGCAACCAAAACATCTGCAAGCAAATGAAGCTTAGAGAGAACTAAGGACTGTATTTTACCTTCTAGTCCTCTTTACAGTTATGACAGTTCCAAGTCTCCCAACCAAATATTAAGCAGATCTGTGGCATGGGAGCAGGGTGAGTGCCCTGTTTATTTATTTTTTCATCCTACCTTTATTATTTTATCAATTCAAGGTGATGTACCTATCAAATGTTCTAATTTTCTCCACAATAATCCTATGAGTTGGGTTGGGCTGAGAAAAACTGACTGGTCCCAAGTCACCCAATTGGCTTTTATTCCAAAGGCAAAACAAGAACTCACAGCCTCCTAGTTTCCGGCCCAAGACCTGAACCAGTACCTCAGTGTGCTGCTTTTCGGTTCTGTGAGTCAAAACAGTGCACATACGCACCAAAGGGGCAAAGCTCGCACCCAGCTCCCCAATAGCACTGATCAGATTCCCCAATGCTTGACTCCCAAGCATCTGCCAAGTGCTGCTGCTTACTGAGGTGCACATGGGGAAGGAATGCCAGCAGATAATCAGAGTTGGAAGGGACCTTGTAGGTCATCTAGTCCAACCCCCCCCCTCTAAGCAGGAGACCCTACACTATTTTTGACAGATGGGAGTCCAATCTCTGCTTGAAAGTCTCAAGTGATGGCGCTCCCAACAACTTCCAAGGGCAATTGGTTGATTGTTCTGTCCCAAGACCAGACTTTGACATAGGAAGAAATGGAGCCTGCATGCATTCCCAAACTAAAGAAGGAAACAAAGCCTCTTTTTTTCAGTTGAGCTGGACTCCTTGACATTTCCCAGACGAATTTATCTGCTGGGAACCAGGAAAGGGGTTTAACCGTGCCCTTTTTGGGGGCCAGAAACTTTTCCAACCTCCCAGGCTAGGATTTCCTCGTGGTCTCCACTCCCTGTTGGGGGGGGAGGAGCCTGGTTCAGCCAGCAGTCAGAATCACGTGATACTTCAGCAGCTGATGCCTTAAAAAAAAAAAAAAACTAGCAGCCCCTCAGCCTGAAGCTGTACGACGCCCTCTGCAGGCAGCAAAGAGTTTTACGCCGCCGAATGAGGCCCCGCCTCCACATGGCATCTCCCTCCAAACGCTGAGGGCGCCAAGTTGGGAATAGAGGCTGCTTTACCGGACGCCTCGCTCATTTCAGGGCAAAAACAAATGGGGTTCCCATCCCCCTTCCCGGCCCCTTTAACGCGCCTCCATCTAAGACAGGTCACGCCGCTCACGGCCTCCGCCTGTCCAGGCCTAAGGCCTCGGCCTCCTCCGGACGCTCTCCGGCCTCCTCCCGCTCCTCAGCTTCCACTGAGGAAAACGCCGGGGAAAGCATCACGGAGGGGGAGGAGGGGGGGAGGTAAGACAGTAGAACAGCCGCCACTCCGCCCCGAGTTCGCTTTCCTGCCCTCCCCAGCCCTCTCACCGCTTTCTTCATGGTGGCCGCCATGTTGTGGACTAAACCACCTACTCCTTTCTCGACGGGGAGCTTTCCCATTTGGCCGAGGTTCGCTCGGTCGCTCTCTCCTATTTTCTGTACTGCTCTCCTGTTCATCCGAGCCGCGGTGAAAAGGAGCGGCTTCGGCGTTCAGTTTGAGGAAAGACGCAGCTCCAGCGTTCAGTTTGAGGAAAGACGCAACTGCAACTCCCCTCCCCTCAAGGATAGTTGGTATGGCCCAAAAGGGGGATAGAGGAGGACGGACGGACAGCAGCGGGAGGTTGGAAAATTTTGGCAGGTTGTGATGCTGGCGAGAACCGGCAGAGGGCGCAACGTCCTTTTTAATGATGGCTGGCAAAGGAGAAAGGAAAGAAAACTCGTATATTGCAGGCTAGAATAAAGAGAAATTCTTTTTCTAGTCCAGTGTATAGTGCAATATTACTGTATAGTGCAATATAAATGCAATAGCGGGTTTTCAGTTCAATTGTATAGAATGTGAAATATATCTGTGTTTTATTTTTATAATTATAATTATAATGTACACTAAAGATGGCATTTAAATTTCATCATATGAGGTGCAGTGACAATAAACTAAACTATGCACGCAGGACATGAACACATCCCTGAGGCTGCCATTTATTTACTTACCTATTTGATTTTTAGTTCATTTTTATTACTTTATGAGTAAATCAAGATGATGAATATACACTCCTTCCTCCTTTTCCCCGCGCCCCACAACAATAACCCTGTGTGGCGTGTTAAGGTTGAAAGAGAGCGCCTTGAAATGATTTAATTTATTTTACCAATAAAAGAGAATATATGTAGCTCAGGGTTGAAACGAGGGGCCCTTGATGCTCTCTGAACTTGGTGGCTTTCCTGCAGACATTTCATTACCCAACTAGGTAACCTCATCAGTGCTAAGAGTGGGATTTGCTCTCAACTGAGGGAGCAGTTGAATGGGGTTTGCTCTCTCCACTCCTTACTAGAACTGATGGTGTTACCTAGTTTGGGTAATGAAACATCTGCAACAGAGGTGGTATTCAGCAGGTTCAGAGCAGTTCTGGAGAACCGGTTGCGGAAATTTTGAGTAGTTTGGAGAACCGCTTCTGACTGGCCAAGTCCCAGCTGATTGACTGGGTCTTCTTTTGTTGCCCTGCACAGAAGAAATTAGTGGGGTAGGGAGGGAATGGGGATTTAGCAGTAACTTTCCCCTGCCATGCCCACCAAGCAACACCCACCAGCAATGCCCACAGAACCGGTAGTAAAAAAAATTGAATCCCACCATTGGTCTGCAGGCAAACAGCCAGATCAGAAAATACCAAGGACCCCTTAATTTATCTCTTTCTCTCCTTCCCTCCCTCTCTCTCTCTCTCCCTCTCTCTCTCTCCCCTCCCCCACCTACCTACCTGCCTACCTACCTCTCCCCTCTCTTGTTCTTTGAGATGGCATGGGGGAGAGTATGATCTCCCCTTTTCTCATATTTTAGTTAGAATCCCCCCCAGCCTTCGTATATTAGAAACAAAAGATTATTTCCTTTTAACATCTAAGTGAAATTTGGCACTTGATAAAAATTGATCTATGAATTGTGCATAAGAAAAAATCCCACAGTGTTCCCTTTTGAGAACATTAATGGGGAAAAAAGCTATTTTGCAACATGTCCTTTTCACTGTTCTTTTTCATTTGTCCCCCTAAACTACAGACTTTAATCAAGGCAATGTGTAAGAATTATCTTTACATAGGGGAGGGGGCTTTTCCAGTCATTAGGGTACAGAGCCTTTGGGAATGGGTAATGCAACAATAAAATAACACAGCTTCAAGCATCAAGATGGGTGCACAGATTTGTTTCCTGCATCAGAGTGTAATGGAAATAATTTTAAAACTTCCTGGATTTGACGCCACTAATTTTGCAAAAAGGCTGGGGACGCTATTTGTTTTACGGGATATCTCTATGACTCTTCTGTCCTTGGATAACATCTGAATCATAGGAGTCAACACCCAATCAATTAGATGATATCCATGTGAATTGATAGAATAATCATAATATAAAGTCAAGTGGCAAGTTTTAGAAGGGTACCTTCCAAACATATAAGTAGACAAGTGGGATTTTAATAACTTTTCAGCACTTAATAACCTGTTAATTACCAGGGAAAACAAGGGTATAACTAAATAAATAGGTAAGGATATATTCTGTCTAAAAGTCTGCTAATCTTAGATTACTTCCTTCTGTTCTTCTTCCCAGGTACAAACACGTAGAAAGAATATTGTTTACTTTCCTCTGTAGAATGCCTATCCCTATAATATGCATGCGCTTCCCATAAATGAATCTCCTTTCTCTTACCGTTATAAAACCTTCATCGTTATTCATTTCTTGGGTCAGGTTTACTTCACTCAGAAACACACAGAATGCTTCAACCATCCACAATCTTCTTACTTAGGCCTTCAGACTCCTTAAGAGTTCTTAAACTTGTTTGGTCTGCGTATATTTTAATGAACTGAAACTGAGATTTGGACATTGGCATCTGTAGGGTCCTCAGGGAACAAAGGGTAAAATTAAATATAACAAGGCAATTTTTGCCTTATTTTGTACATGTGCTCTAACGGTGTACATTTATACGCCACAGGAGGAGTTTGCCTTGTAAGTAAGAAGATTCTGATTCTATGGATGCCTCTGGAAGGTGAAAATACAATTCATTACTATTATGTTCCTAACATAGAAGTAAAGTTGAGGGACATAAATAATGAGTGTAACAATATAAACTAGCTAAAGCAGTAATTTCACACACGTGTGCGCACACACAAAGAGCCTTTTGCCTTGTGGGATCCTAAGTTTGGTTGGTTGGTCTTCCCAGAGTGACTGACCTTCTACTATTGTTGCCTTTTAAATATGAATAATAATCACAACAACAATAATAGAAGAATTCAAACACTATTTAAAGGCCTTCTGGCTGAAGTCATACAAACATGTTAATTGCTTTCCATCCCATGACCATACCCAATTTACTTTGGGCTCAGAAAGCTAAACAGGATGGGAGGTGGTTGGCCCTTGGAGGGAAGACCATCAAAAAATCCCAGGTCTGCACAGCTTTCATTAAATAAATTGGGAGGAGGGGAATCTCGGAAGACTGACGTTGTCAGTTTCTGAGGCCCCAAAATCTTTTATCTTTTCTATTTCCATCACTGCTTCTCAATGTAATTTCTTAAATAGCAACCTTTTAGTATGCTGGTACAAACCATGACAAAATCTAAAAGGAGGAAGAAAAGAAGCATAAATGTTTTATTCAAAAAGTAATATTATTATCCAGGAATAATACTTTACCTTGTTGCTAAGGCTGGAGCTGTTCAGGACAACTGGCTCCAATGAAGTAATGTGAAAGAAGTAATTAATTTTTAGCAAATATTGGCCTGGCATTTCTAGTTTGGTGGCATCTATGGAAATGCAAGGTAGTGACATGAAACAGCAACCAGAAGTCAGCTTCCTCCACATCTCTGTCATGTATAAATAAATTGCCAAGCCTGGATAATTAAAGGGGGAAAATTAAACTGAAGAAGGGCCAAATATGTCTCCTTTGAGCTGAATATCTGAATGAGTATGAACAGTCATGGGTTCCAGGAGAAGGTCTGCAAGGGAACAGCAAACAGCTGGGTGATTAAAGAGGTAGGCCAAGCTGGAGTGTTTGTTGATGGCTTTTGGCCCAAGGATGATGAAACCTGTTATTACACAATAGCAGCAGATCGGTAGCAGCCAAAAGCATGAGCAGACTTCCATGCAAAGCTTGTAGATGACCTAAGGAACATCATCCTCATTTTTTCCAGAAACCTCTTGAGTGGCATGGTGGTTATATTGCAGATGGGTCAAGGGATTCGGAGGGCTAGACTAAACATGGCATCTATTGAATGAGTGCAATTATATTGCACATATATCTGTTCCGTATGAGTGTTATTATATAACAGAATTCAAGAGGAAATCCAAGTAGCTGTCTTTAAAGAAAATGAAGAACAATGTTAGGCTTTCTTCAGTAGTTTTGTAACAGCTGTATGTATTGCCATTTTGCTTATAATTTAAGAAGGACCCTCTAGGCCCGTGATGGCAAACCTATGGCATACATGCCAGAGGTGACACGCAGAGCCCTCTCTGCGGGCACGGGAGCCGTCGCCCCAGCTCAGCTCTGCCATGCATGTGCCCGTACCTCCCGCGGGCCAGCTAGTCTTTGGGTCTCTGTTGTGCATGCATGGTGGGGTGGGGCGCAGGCAGGGGATGTGTGCACATGTGCAGGGGGCAGGGGGCATGTGTGGGAGACACACACATTTCATTTTGGGAAGGTTTACGCGCACACACAGGTGCACTTTGGGTACTTGGTGCTGAAAAGGTTAGCCATCACTACTGTAGGCATTATCCCAGCAGGTGGCAACTTTTAACCAACTTTGTCTGACTTAAGAAGAATAAACTTAATTAATACTTGAATGGGACAGTTTGAGAAAATCCTATGATTATAGACTAGAACGGGATTTTTTTTTTAAAAAATTATATTGCAAAGCTATATGATTGTATGGGTGATGCAGTGACTCAACTGTCAAGACGCTGAGCTTGTCAGCTGGAGAGGTGACAGCCTGGGTTCGAGACCCGACTGCCAGCCAACAGGGTGAGCTCCCATCCTCACCCCAGCTCCTATCAACCTAGCAGTTCGAAAGCATGCAAGTGTGATGACCCGGGGCATGGCACAAAGGCAACACAGTCAGATAATAAGAGTCCCTTTATTATCTCCAACTTTGCCCCCAATGTCCAGGATACCTTCTGGCTGGAGAAAAACTCTCCCGGGAACAGCCTTTGACTGCAGAAAATTAAGTCCGAAACAGGGTAAACACAAACTGTAACTTAAAGTCCAAACAAGCCAAACTGAAGTAATTAGTTCAGCAGGGCAGGAGCAAGAATTTCAGACTTGAAAGCACAGCAAAACTCACACAGTTAGGAAGATGCCAGGAACACAGATAAGCCACGACAACACAAGATAAAGTCATGTTTGTTCCCAACAGCCTGCCACACGCAGCTTGCCTTTTTTTATAAACTGTGTTCCCAGCTGCAGTTAATAAAGGGAATCAGGGCCCTTTCCTCCCTGTAAGCTACGCAACCCACGTTGTTCTTTTCTCCGTTCCCCCCTGCGTGCCCTAGGATGAAGAGGGGGTGGGCCTGGATCTTCCTCTGAACTCCCTCTCCCTTGTTCTACCTCTTCCCTGCTCTGCCCAGCCAGACTTTGCCCTTCCCCAGTTTCCTCCACAGCCAACGGAGCCACACTCCCTGTCAGCTCTTCGGCTTCCTCCTCAGAGTCAGACTCTGACAGGGGCATGACAGCAAGTGCGAATAGATTAATAGGTACCACTTTGGTGGGCAGGTAACAGCACTTCATGACATATGCTGACCACATGACCACAGAAATATCTTCAGACAGCACTGGCTCAGTGGCCTTGAAACGGAGATGAGCACCACACCAGAAATGCTAGCGGAGTAAAATCCTTTGGGACTCATTTATTTTTACCTTTTTATATGATTGTATATAAGTGTATTTTTAAAAAAAATAAAACAATATGGGGAAACAAAAGAGATTAATATAAATACCTCCCAACAAATTAATTAGTCTTAATTATAATACCAAAACAAAAAGAAAATATGTCGAAAAGGAAAAGGTCTAAATATTTAACTACTATATTCATATGAATTACATAAATAGGTCACATTTTTAGGTCACACAAAGCAGTACGTTTAGGTTGCATATAACAACCATTCTTGTTAACTAATAAATCTATGTCAAAGGGAAACATGCTGCGTCATTTTTGACTGATAGAAAACAAACAGCCTTTTCAAAAATGAGTAGGTTACACCTTTCTTGAATCCACTGTCTATGGAGATTCTCAGTCATCCAGGTCATAGTTGTCCCAAAAGTGCTTTTTCAAGAGGCAACTGGACTTATTTTTCTTTGAAGACATTTCACTTCTCATCCAAGAAGCCTCTTCAGCTCTGTTGAATAATGAGAAGTGAAATGTCTTCAAAGAAAAACAAAGTCCACTAGCCTGATGAAAAAGCACTTTTGGGACGTCTTGAATCCAATTTTTTATATCTAGGGTAGTGGCACTTTTCCAGTTATTCTTGGCTATTCCAGAACAAAGCTGGGGCAGACCAGGTCTCTATCAAGGAAGCTCCCTGGACATGAAGTTACTGAGTTGAGATTGACTTGAAGCTTGAGAGCCATCTCCTCCATCAGGAGTTTGTGTGCTCAACTCAGGAACCCAAATGTCTTCCTTACTCTAGCTTTGGATCAATCATCTTTTCACCTGGATCCTTCGAGATGGGCGGGGATTGGAACTTCCCATATAATTAGCCAGCCTGTCACCTGGATATTAACTGCCAACTCAAGAGGAAAACGTGTGTTCCATAAAGTCTGCTTTGGAGATGTTGATTTTTTTTTTTTTTTAATTAAGCTTCTTAAAGTGTTCCCATTTCCTCCTCAGATTCCCCAGCCTCGGGGCTTTTGACTGCCTCCTCTTCTCAGAAAGGGGTTTTTGTAGATGAGGCTTTCCTGCCAGAGCTCCAGCAATTTTTAGAGATGAATAAGCATTGCTATATCTAGATCATTTTTTTTGTTGTTGTTGTTCTTTCTCTACCAGGTGGTGGATGTTGGCAGGGACAGCTGTGAAATTCTTCCACATGCACAGAGAGGATTTGCAATAAGTATGCAATATATTGCTGAGTCTTGTTTGGTTTATTTTTCTTCCCTGCCATTTAAAAGTGAAAGCAGTGTCCTTGGAGGATCAGATGAACTCAATGAGCTCAGTGGCCTATACAAGGAAACAGGTTATCACTCTGAAGTTGAATGGCCTTTCTTTCTTTC